TCCTTGCGTATCATTAGGTTGTTTGCCAATCACACGAGTCAAATATTCTACAACCTTGATTTCTAAAGTCGTTTGCTATCTAGAACTGTAAAATATAAAATGTCTTGTTCTAATTCATGATTTGTCCCCTTTTCCTTGTAGTTTTGTCAGGCTCTATGGCTTTTTTCCTTGAGGCACTATGCACATCAAAGCATACAAGTCTGACATTCTCAATTCAGTGAGGTATACACTCACGTGATCCAAATTAAGACCGACATTCCAGAAGCTCCGAGTTTACCTCATTCCTTTCCGAGTCAGTACGCAGCCTCCTCTGCAGCACCATCCTGACTTCTGTTACCATTAACTTTTACCTTTTCTTGAGATGCGTATAAAGCTATCATGGCATGTGTTACTTTGTCTGTGGTCCTTTTACACTGCTGCACAACTTACTCTTTGGATGACTATTGGCACCACAAAATTAGTTGACACGGTGCATACCTGTAATTCCAGGATGGCAATTTCTAAGCCAGCCTCAACTACAAAGGGAAATAGTGGCTTTAGGAAACAAGAAAGGGCCACCAATGGTGGCACATGCCTTTAATCCCAGAGGCAGTTGGATCTCTGTGAATTTGAGGCCAGCCTGGTCTACAGAGCAAGTTCCAGAACAGCCAGGGCTATGCAGAGAAACCCTGTCTTGAAAAATCGGGGGGGAAAAAAAGGAGAAAAGAAACAAGAACGGTAGCACACACCTATAATTCAGCACTCCAGAGGCAGAGGCATGACAATTATTGCAAGATCCAGGTCAGTCTTCTTGACATAAGCAAGTTCCAGGCCAGCCAGGGCTACATACCCAAACCCGGTGATCCAGACTATTGGGGGAAATTCTGCAATAAGCATCTTGTAGACATGACTTTTGGAGAACATGGCCCTTTAATTTTCTTGGGCTTATACCATTTGATGGAACTGAAAAGTTCTATTTAGTGTTAGGAAAGATTTGTCAGTTTTTTCACTCCTTCCAACAATTTTGAGTTTTACTTTCTCTGCATATCAGCCCTCTCTGATGAGTATGTAAAGGCATCTCATGAAATTTTCCATTTCTATCTCCCTAACACCAGTGCTGAACAACCTGTCTTCCTTGAGCCATTTAGATAAAATGGTTTTGCTAATGTTTTTTTGTACATTGAGACTGTTACCAGGTATACTGAGGAACTGAATCTTTTTTGAAACACTCTTCTTAATTTATAGCAAGAATTTTTTTTTTATTTTTTGCCTTAAGGTACACTTTGTCAAAATATGTAATGATACTTGGCTTTATAAATGTTGCCATTTTTATCTTTTCCTAGCTTTTTATTTCCAACATATCCAGCCTTACACTTTTACATGTGTCTTTCGCTAACAGCTAACAGATTTTTAAATTGTTTAATGATGGGTTTTGGTTTTGGTTTGGTTTGGCTTTTCAAGACAGGGTTTCTCTTTGTAGCCTGGGCTGTCCTAGAACTCACTCTGTAGATCATGCTGGCCTTGAACTCAAAAACTCATCTGGCTCTGCCTACTGAGTGCAGGGAATTGAGACATTTAGCTTACTTATACTTAATTAGACCTATTTTGATTTAAATTTCTATTTCAGTTTATATACTTTGTTTTTGTTTTTCAAGACAGGATTTCTCTTTATAGCCTTGGCTGTCCTGGAACTCTCTGCAGACCAAGATGGCCTCAAACTCAGAGATCCACCTGCCTCTGTTCCCCCACCCCCACCCCCAGTGCTGGGACTAAACACGTGCACCACTATCTTTTCATTTCATCCATTTTCCTTTATATTCTTTGAGTGGTTATCCTTAAATTACAATGCACGTATTCTAACATACCAAAGCCTACCACGCTGGTCATGGTGGTACACAGGTTGGCAGTCACAGCATTTAGAAGCTTGAGAGCAGCTTGAGATACACAGCATGAGTCTAGCTCACAAACAGCCTACCACTGGTCTTTACTACAATGTGTAGACCTGAGAGCATCTTCACTTCCAAGGGCTCACTTACCTGTCTGTGTGTACATACTAATCATTTACATAATGAAACCCTGCAAGACAGTTTTCTAAGTCAATATTCATGTTTACCTTTTCCTCTTCTTTTGTTTCCTTTACCATTTTTCCATTTTTCTAGAGGGAAAAGAAAACCCTACTTCATAAAGAAGTTTCTCTCATGTAAGAATTTCTCAGCTTTTGTCTTTATTTACGTCCCCACCCCATATTTGAAAAATGCTGGATACGGGACTTGGAGCTGTAGCTCAGTTGGCAAAGCAATTGCCTAGCACATACAATGGGTTCAATCCTAGAGCTACATAAACTGACATGGCTTCGGGTGCCTGTAATCCCAGCAGTGGGAAGTGGAGAACAAGAAGTTGGAGGCCAGCCTGAGCTACTTATCTCAAAAAAAAAATGAAATGATGGGTTAATGAACTCCTTTCAGGTTAATTTTTTGTTCTAGAATTTTTATGGCTTTTTCAAATCTTGTTTGTATAAACAAAAATGAATTGCGTGACTTCTGTGTATATACATGGTTTCCAGTTCTCTACTGAATTCTAATTTCACTAAGGAATCTTAATTACTTAAGTGTGTGTGACAGCTCTATCGGGAAACCCTCTGCATCTGTGTGGATGTCCTGTTGCTTTTGTTGGTTCTCTCCAGTTGCTGTCTTCCGGTTCCTGGTTACTTTGAACTGTGGCAATCAGTCCTAGGGTGCTGTCCTCCTCCAGAGGATCAAGACCAGCTTCTGCTAGGTCTTCCTTGTTATCCTTTTTGAAGCCTGCCCCCAGCCCCTCATTTTATCTATCATCTCTTTACCACCCACCTTGCTCTCAGCAGTAAAGATAGGCTTTTCAGAAGCCAAGCGAGCTAGCACTGCGTGACCTTGCCCAGGGCATAACTGACACTTGATCCTCTTGGACCAATTTCTTTCCATCAGGAATTCAGCTGGCATTCAGAAACAGCTGGTCAGTTTCCATTACATAAACTCAGGAGCTAGAGGGCAGCTGGAGGAGCAGAAAGCCAGTCAGCAGGGAAGAGGGAAAAGCAGAGAACCACATAGAGATACTGAGTGTTCGCGTTCTTAGAGGGCCTAGATGCAATCTATACTTTGGCTCACTGACACTATCTGTGCCTTGAGGATCAACTTTCCTGTCTAGTTTGTACTAGTTTAGGGATGGAAATTGTAAGAAGAGTGATGATACGGTGAGGAAGGAACCAATGGACTATTACCAGTGGATTCAGGGACAAAAGAATAAATCAAGAGTCAACATGGCTTCAAAAAGTCATGATCTGTGACTGAGAAGCCATCTCCCAATATTTCTGTCAGTGATATCACATAGGATTTCCAAAACCACTCTACCAGCGGGATCGCCTGTGAGGAAAACTCGACAGTATCCAGGGAAAGCTGTGGGTGCAGGCCGGATGGAACATGAAACCCAACGGCAAGCAGCAGCTATGTTGTCTGAAACACAGCAGAGTGGGCTAGCACCACCACACCTAAGGACACTCCATGTTTAAAGATGTAAAGCTCCGGGAAGATAAGGCTGACAAAGAATCCAAATGAATCGTGCCTGCATTTCAGTACTGCAGATAAGTTTACTGAAGGTGGTGATTAAAATCAGGGTAGGAGTGGAGCTCATAGTGTTCAAGGGGAGGCAAATCTGTGCTCAGCTTGATTTAATACCAACGAGGCCCAGCCGGGCAGTAGTGGTGCACGCCTTTCATCCCAGCACTCGGGAGGCGGAGGCAGGCGGATGTCTGTGAGTTCGAGGTCAGCCATGGTCTACAGAACAAATTCCAGGATAGGCTCCAAAGCTACAGAGAAACCCTGTCGGGGGTTGGGGGGTGGGGGTGGATACTCACTAGGCCCAAAAGGAGAATGACAAAACTTTGGGGGGGTGCTGGGTAAGGGATCACACTGATGTATGGAGTATGTATGTGGGAAGTTAAAGATTGTTCTAAAGAACCGGGGCTGGGAAGTCTGGGGGCTGGAGAGATGATTCAGCAGCTTGCTGTGCTTCCAAAGGACCCGAGTTCAGTTAGTTCCCAGCACCGTAGATAGCTCACTGGCACTGTAGCACCAGCTCCTGGGTTGCAGGGCCCTCTTCTGGCCTCCACAGGCCCTTCACACGCAACACACACACAACACACACAACACACACACACACACACACACACACACACACACACACACACACACACACACACACACAAAGTTAGCAAAAAGTGAAGTCAGGTAAAGGGAACAAGCATCAGGTCCTATGGGTTTAACAGTCTCATCACTGCTGTGATGGCAAATTCTCACTGGGAACAGTGGTACATTCCTGTAACTTCAGCTTACTTTTAAATGATAGGCAGAAGCCAGGCATGAAACACACCTGTATAGAAGCTGGCACTCAGGAGGCTGAAGCAGGAGGATTACCATGGGTTTGAGATCAGTCCTGGCCATATAGAAGGCTGTCTTCAAACTAATTAATTAGGCCATAACACTCATAAACATTAGAATGAACAACTTGCTAACAGTAGTTGGACTAGTTACTGATGGATGTAGTAAGTGATTCAATTTAAAAGGTGACTGGGGATTAGGAGAGCATCAGAGGCAGCCTACTACCCAGCTACCTAGAGGTGAAGTTCAAACTAATTAAGTAAAGCTGACGACAGAACTGTTAGCTTGGGAAACCTGATCTGTTTAGAAATACTATTTTGGCAAGAAAAGAAACCTCTGGTAAGAGATGGCTTTCAGCACCTGCATTCTTTGTTTAGTATTGGAAGAAAGAGCCAAGGCAAAAAAAAAAAAAAAAAAAAAAAAAAGATTTTTCAGAATTCAGGCTCTTTGAAATTACTACTAAACACAGATCACCCAGCGGACCAACTGGGCAAAAGCAGATTACTCACAAAGTTAACCCCTGTGCAGGTTTTATGAGCAACAACTCTGAGGCTAACCTGCAATGGTTTTAAGGAAACACACCGAGAGATTCACAGATTTCAATGAACAGTCTCAGTTAAGAATTGTCACTTTATTCTTCTACCAATTCAGTATCAATGATATACAAAAGGATATAAACAGATTATCATAAATAGTTATTACTATAGGAAGACACACAAACACTCATGAAAAAATCCAACACAGGAACCCAGTGACTTCTCCATGTTTACTCACCAGTATAAGGTTTATTCCAGAAGTTTCCCACTACTCTACAAAAGCAGTTTTGTGGCTTTGTATGTCCCATTAGAGTCACAAACACAGGTGCTGATAAAATCATGTTTTGTACTCACAGCCAGAGAAAGGCTTCCAAAGACTCTAATTTTCAGGCCATCACATCAGTAGGCTTGTCAGCAGGATGAAACTTCACCAAAGGAAATGTTTCTCTCCTCTTGTTCTCCCCCAGGTCCTCCTTAGTGCAGGAAGGAGGGTGTGTTTTAGGAGCACCCTCGCCCACCAACATAGAATGAAGAAAATGGTTGATCCCTTGATCCCTTCCACCTTCCAAATACAATGCAGAACTACAAGGACAGGCAGTGCCTTGCGCCCCACCGGACAGACACGGTGTAGTCGCTATCTCATACACAGCACACCCAGAAATATTCATACTGCTATCAAATACACTTTCACCCAGAGGATATAAGACTGACAAGAACCTAAAATGAACCAGACATTTCATAGAAATACGTCGAAGTTTAAAGGAATCGCCCTCTTCTGTGAGTTAGATGCCACAATTCTTTATGGAAACACAAGATTAAGGGCTTGTCTCCTGAAATGCTTCAGTCAGAGGCAGCCAGGGAATATAAAAAGCTTATGGCTTTAATTCACAGAACACAACAGTTCTCCATTACCTAGCCATGCTTCTCTTGTCATCCATAAGAAACTAACACACTGGAAATCCAACTTTCACACTGAAAAGAACGATCAAGTCAACTTCACACACAAGGTAGAGGGGGCACTTAAAAGACCCAAAACTTGACAACTGGGGAATTGTCCCATAAGGACACTTTTAAACCTAGCAGGATTCATTTATAATTTTCCCTGTGTTGGTTAAAGGGGTGATAGGTTTTGGAACTAAAATACACTACTAAAAGACATAATACATCAATGAGGTCAACAAAGGTTAGGCACACACATCACAGTTAAGATTGCTATACAATACTGTGCTGACTTGAAAGGAAATCTTTTGGGGACACTAGAGGGAAAGATAACAGGAAAGGATTTATGAAGGAGGATTTGGTCCAAAGCTAGTCCAATGAATATCTACCAGCAGGACCTCCAATGTTTCATCTCCAAAGAAATGATCTAATAAGTCATAAAATGACCACATGTACATTTGGGACATACACACTCCTGAGTACAGTGAGCCCTTAAAACATCCTGGCTTCGCTCACTACTTGATGACTGTGGCTCTAAAAATTGTCCTATTATATTTTAATTAGCCAGTTAACACAGCTGAGGCTGCTCCCTGTGTGAAGACAGACTAGATTCACAACATAATTTGATCTGGTAAAGACAAACAGTAGGGGAATGGGAAGCTTCCAAGGTCTTCTTACAAAACCTTTTCCCTCATTTGAAAACCTCTGCCAGTCGCCTAATGTTGTTTCAAACAGAAAGCAAAACTGGCTGGGAAATGCCCATATTCTCATTGTTTACTAGCATAACACAAAATGAATTCATAGATGTTGCTCAATTATTTCTCAAAAACCAAATGTGAACGTTTAATCGTGTAACTTAAGAACTCAATTTTTCCACATTCCTTTATATAGAGTTAGCATCTGTAAATTGAGACTCTTTTTGGACAATCATGCAAATTTAATTTGTCCCTGGAAACAAAAACACAACCTAACAGATTAACAAAATATGTCCTGTAGACAATATTTTTACTGTGAATTTTTCCCCACTGTTACCATTTTTATCCTCTAGTAAACAAACTAATCTTAAGTTTATGTATTTTGAGTTTACAAAGAGCTAAACTCTTAAAGTGATTAGGAAGATAGTATCAAGTCACCCCACTTTAACTTCTGAGCTGGCTCCACTCTTTTCAAAAGTAAATTCTAAGAAAAAATTGTGAGTAATTATTATCAAGTTATATGAGCGAGAGACAGTTCGGCTGCCATAGATGCTCCTGTAAAGCTGAATAAAGATTTTATTATACCACACACACAAAAAGCATTTGGTACAGAAAAGGCAGTTTTCGGTTATTCTGCTGAGAATTTCTTTCCATGATTTCTCCCATTAAAGTATAGTTTTCAAAGCAAGCACCACGACAAAGGAAGCATCTAATTAGTCCATTTTCTTCTGATCCAAGAATGCTGAACATTTACTGTCCCATCTGTAGTTGTATCAGCAGGGTAATGAACACAGTTTATATTACTTAACTATTCTTTGAACTCCAAGAACTGTTGAAGTCTTTTCTGATGTTCTGCAGATGCTTGCACAGCACTAAATGAAACATAAATGCAAAGCATAAGCTTTATTTTACATTAAGCATATTAAGTGAACCACAGAGCGCAGAGTCAATATTTTTCAAAACAATTAAAAATGAATAGAATCTTCACTTATTTAGTACTTCTGAAAAAGCTGGATGAAAACCTTTTTCCATCTAATGAAGGCAAGGGCTCACACTGGGCAATGGCATGTTTCTACCTTCTGAAAGACCAGAGCAAATTCAGACTGACAAGTGCAGGCATCGCTCTAACCTGCTCTACCATGGAACCTGCTGTGCAGAGTTCCAGGCCCTGCAGTAGATTTTCTGGATTTTATTATTTTATTCAAACCAGATTCAAACATTATCTTTGAATTGTAGAGTATTTGAATTGCTTTTAATATAAAATCCTTTAAACTAAAATGTTTGGTTAAAACACAATAGATTCCATTAATCGTTTTCAAAGGTAACAGCTTGGTGGCTTGGATTTATTTCTCCCTTTGAACATACACCATGTTATGGATGGGGACTCAGTTCTCCCTCTACTCTCCATCACAAAAGCACATTATCTTGGCACAAGGCAGGCAAATACACCCTACAACTAGTGCACAACTTCTTTGTAAACTTTTGGACAAAAGTTGAATGTAACAAAAATGTTGGTTTCTCTATTTGTTTTTTGTTTTTGTTTTGAGCCAGGGTTTGTCTGTGTAACAGCCCTGGCTGTCCTGGAACTCACACTGTAGCCCAGGCTGGCCTTGAACTCAGAGATCCCCCTGCCTCTGCCTCCTGAGTGCTGGGATTAAAGCTGTGTGTCAACACACAGAGACTTTTGAGTTTTTAATTAATAATACAATCATCATTGAACGATGAAATTCCAGACAGCTGAAGCACACCCTTTTTAGTGCCACAGATGTCTTGTTTTAATGCCTTTGCTACAGGTTATCCTACAATGATTCTTCATCATCTCTGCTTCCTGACCCCACAAAGAAACCTCTACTGGAGCCACTTCACTGTGAAAAAAGGTGCCCAGGAAGGTGCTCACGAGGTGGGTGCCACTAACCAACCACCATCTTGCCCCATAACTTTGCAGTAGCAGGTAGAGAATTGCTCTAAGCTCTGCCACAAGTACATTTTGATGTTATAATGTGGAAGTAAACCAAATTTGCCTAGTTATGAGTCAATGGTTCACATCTGTTAACTCTGCACTCAGGAGGCAAAGGCAGGTGGATCTCTGAGTTCAAGGTTGGGCTGGCCTACATGTCAAGCTTCAGGGCAGTCAGGGCTACATAGAGAGACCCTGTGTCAAAAAACCAAAGAGTTTACCTCATCTGTACCTAGTTCTCAGGGTGGAGCAAGTGGGTGAATAATTAAGCTATTACACAGGGATAACATGTTGTATGCTGGGCTTTACATAGATGGCCAATTCTATTTTTTTCTCTATCAACACCAAACAAAGCAACGTGGGAGCCTAAATACCATCTACAGGTTCAGAGCTGAAGGACCACATGGCTCACTGGTTAAGAGTGCAGACGCTGCAGCTAGAACCAGAGTTAGCAAGATATGGTCTGAATGCTGGCTCTATAACTGACTACTTGTATGCCCGACCCTGGCTGAGCTGCTTCAGTAACTTCCTCACAACCACAGACAGCAATCCTGTAGTCAAACAGAAACCCACATGTTCGAGCAACTCCAGAGCTAAGACTCTTTCTACTGTGCCACTCTGTTGACTCTGCTCTGTGGTGCCAGTGACATAAAATATGGCTTTCCTCCTCAGAGGAAGGACAAAGGCAGAACTTCATTCTCATAACCTTCAATCTGCCGTCTACCTTTCTTAGCTAATAAATCCTTATCTGCACCCCCATCTCTCTACTTTTGCTGTCAGTAGATACACACACCTACTCATTTTCTGTATCAGTGAGTGAATTGAGCACATCTTCTATGCCAGCTCCCAGCCTAGAGACAGACTAGTGCTGTAAATGGACAGAGGACAGATTTTGTTTGTTTTGAGACAGGGTTTCCCTGTGTAGTCCTGGATGGCCTTGCACTCAGAGATCCACCTGACTTTGCCTCTCAAGTGCTGGATTAAAAGAGTGTGTCACCACCACCTAAGAGACCTGAGAGGACAGAATTTTTAAGAGCAAGCATGACCTCCTTTCAGGTTCATGTCCTAACATGAATGTACTATCACACGAGGGTTAAGTGTTCTGTGCCTGTGCTGACACACCTGTGTAATTAGGATAACCCTTGCCCCTCACAAAATGGTTGAGAAAAAGAAACAAAAAGCTACAATCCATGGCCATCAGCTTAGACAGCACAGGTCTGGAAGTTAACACATGATTTTTATTTGCTTTTAAATAATTAAATAAATGTCTCAATGATACAGGAACATTTATGGTTGTGTTACAGTCTCAAACAGAACCAAAGTGTGCTGGGAATATTTGCTATTGCTACTGCCTTGTACTGTGTAAGTAAAAGAAAGCAAAAGCAGGCATACACAGTACTCTGTTCCTGACGACATAAAAAAAGGCAGAACACTCTCTCATGCCTTCTAGAACTCATTCTAATTACAATAAACACAGCTTAGTTAGGAAACCAGTATCCTTCATCCTGTCCAGCTACAGCATTTCATTAGAGCAAAGCAGTAAACATCAATGAAACTAAATATAAACAGGCCTGGCACTTGTGGTTTCTCTCGGGTTCAGTTTCTGAAGGTGTTGTGATCTGCCGGTATTTTTCCAGCATGATTCACAAAGTGCCACAGCCTCATTTATGGAATATTCTGCTAACCCAAGTACCCGAGTCTCAGTTTCTTGACCAAAATGTAACAAGAGAATTATTTTTAATATGCTTTTGTGAAAAGGCACTCAGGACTTCTTTTTCTCATTTAAGGATCTTTTGGTAACTTAACTATATCACAAATTCCTATTATAACTTTCTGTCATTTGAAAGAAATTCCCAAAGACAGTCATGAACAGAAATTTTAAATATAAATACCAAGTCCATATGTAAGTTCTACTCACAGAGAACCATCAAGGACCTATAAGATAGCTTTCACTCCACAAGCCCTCTCATACCCAATCTCAGAGGACTCCTGACATAGGCCATCCGTGTGGATCAGATGGGTAAACTTACTTCAGATGTTCACCAAACGTGGTGGCTATGCGGTAGATAGCAGTTTTCAGTGAGGCCCTGAAGGCAAATCTTAATGTTTTGTAGGATGAGTCCACAAGACTTCCTGAAATCCGGGGTGGTTTACTAGAAGCATGAGGTAGCTTAAAGTACTTGTCGACAGCCTAGATCAGAAAGAAAGAAAACACATTAGTTCAGATTATCCTGAAAGCCAGGGTAGGCGAGGCCTGAGACATCTCAGTGGGTAGAGGTACTGGCTGCAAAGCTCGGTGACCTAAGTTCCCTGGAGTTCAATTCCCAGGACCCACCCAGGAGAGAAATGACTCCTACAAGATGTGCTCTGACTTCCTCATGCAAGTCCACACACACAAAATAAATGTCAAAAAGAATTTTTAAATACAAATTTTAAAAGTCAAGTCAAGAGTCAGGTGTTGGTGGCACACGTATTTAATCCCAGTGCTCGGGAGGCAGAAACAGGTAGGTCTTTGTGAGTTCGAGGCCAGCCTGGTCTGCAGAGTGAGTTCCAGCACAGCCAGGGCTACACAAGAAACCGTCTCAAGAAAACAAAACAAAAAAAAAGCCAAGCCAGTCTAAGAAATTTTCATTATAGATAATGTACACATCTACAAAGCCATGTGTGTTCTTAGTCAATCAGTCACCAGGACCCAGTGAAGTCCAATATCCCACACTTTGCTTATCACTGGTGACAGTGGACATCTTTTATCCTGACTGCAGCAGAAAGGACCAGAACTTTAATCTTTACTAAACTGCTCTTCTCTTTCTTTTTAATCCTAAATTAGGTTTTACAATTCTAGAGGATGGGTGCCAGTGAGCAGTAGTAGATGGGGCAAGAGGCAGCGCACACAGTGAGACTGATTTTATTTACAGTTGGTACGGTTAAGAAATGAAAGTGTAAAGCTGGACGCTGGTGGGCACGCCTTTAATCCCAGCACCTGGGTGGCAAAGGCAGGTGGATCTCTGTGAGTTAGAGGCCAGCTTGTTCTACAGATTGAGTTCCAGAACAGCCTCCAAAACAATACAGAGAAACCTTGTCTTGAAACAAACCAAAAAAAAAAAAAAAAAAAAAAAAAAAAAAAAAAAAAAAGAAAAGAAAAGAGGAAGGAAAGCTTAGTCTTTGAAAGGTCAAGAGCAAATAATAGTTTTTTAAAATTTATTTATTTTATTTTATGTGCATTGGTATTTTGCCTGCATGTGAGGGTGTTAGATACTAGAGTTACAGTTGTTAGTAGATTTGGATGCTGGGAATTGAACCCAGTCCACTGGAAGAGAGAGCAGTGTTCTTAACTACTAAGCCATCTCTCCAGCCCCAAATAATATAATTTTAAAATAACACAACTATTACAGTAAGAGAAGAGAGAAGTACAGATGAAGGATGTTAGCCTATTGTGGCAAGTGTTCAGGGAGGAGAAATATGTCACATTGCACTGCATTCACAACCAGGAGTGAAATTACCCCAGTTATTGTGTTTTGAATTTCAAGAGCCCTTGTATGCTATCTTGTTCCTTCTTATTTTAGCTCCCTACTTTTGCTCAAAAATATAATATGCCTATTTCTGTGGATTTTTGATGATAGTTCTTTTGTTTTCATACTGTCTTCCCTTTGCTTCCTTTGGTCTCTATCAGCCATTTTAAAGCCTTTCCTCTCAGAAAGCCAATGATGCTTGGCTCCTGACTGCAAGTGGAACTTCCCAAGGAGCTGACTAAAGTTCTTGGAGCTGACAGGCTTCCTGAAAGGTAATCAGCATGGACTCTGAGGTGAACTCCACACTCAGTCATCTGACGTCTTTGTCCCTACATTACCCGAGAACAGTCGTCTACTGTCCTTGTGAGAAGGGCAGGGCCCCAGAGTTCAGTGAAACTCACCTGGTACACAGTCCCCACACTGCCAGGCACCCCCAAGTCCAGGCCCATATTCTAGGCTGGAGTGGGGAAGGAGCAGTTAGCAGCAGAGAGCCTAGGGTCCTAAATGGTTTGTTTCTGAACCTCCTTCTTTGGGCCCCTAACCTTGATTACAAAGGTACCAAGAGCCCTTCCCACAGTCAACCTAGACGTGTCTCTGGGACCTGCTGAACATCTGCTTTCCAGCTTCACAGACTGTGCTGCTATTGATTCTGCCTGCTTACGGGTTTATGTATTTAACAATTCTTTACCATACACTAGAATTTTGGAAAAGGAACAAAATTTGATGCATATGGTGAGTATGCCATAGCAACTTCAAGTCCAATCATTTGTTCTTTCACAATGATCACTTATTAGAGATATTTCCTAAGATGGGCATAGTTGAAATACTTGCAGGCAGCATGGGAGGTAGTGTTCACAGAAACACTTGAGCAATAATAAATAACACTGAGTCACAAAGGAAAAGTTAGTCTCATTGTAATTTCCCCACACACTTGATTTCAAGCTGTTATACCAAGAAAACAGCCGTCATTCTTTACTACGTGGATCCACTATCTCGTGACTTTTATAGTCTAGTTACATCACCTCCTGTATTCCTTCCCTAGTACCACACACCTACATGCATGTATGTATGGACCTGCATGTACGCACGCACGTGCGCGCGCGCACGTACACACACACACACACACACACACACACACACAGTCTTTAGCACTCTGATAGAAGAATGACATAATGCAGAATACCTGCAAATGTAAGTCAGAATATACAGGTAGCAAACTCAATTTTTATCCAGTATTTTACAGCTTTAGTCTAAAAGCAGTAATAATCCAGGGTCTTCCTGTGCAATCTTGGCTGACCTGGGACTTGCTGTGTAGATCAAGTGGATCCTTCTGCCTTGTTTGCTGATATTAAAAGCCTGGGCTGACACACCAATGTTCAATTCCCAGCATCCACAAAGCAGCTCACAACCTCCAGTTCCAGAGGAGCTAACACCCTCTTATGGTTTCTGCAGGCACCAAGCATGCAGATGCTGTACAGACATACATGCAGGCCAAACACCTATACACACAGAATAATTTTTAAATAAATTACTTGGGTTCTCAGGATTTGAACCAGTCCACGTGGTTACACAGCAAGTGCTTTACCCACTAAACCATCTCGCCAGACCTATCTGTTATTTTGGAGAGTGGATCTTTCTATGCTGCCAAAGCTAGTCTATAGCTAATGTGCAGTACTGGCTGGCCTCAAGCCAGCATTTCTCCTGCCTCAGCTGCCCAAGTGGTAAGACTACAGGCATGTGCTGCCATGCCTGATTTCTGACTCTTCTAAGATCAGTGTCACCACAATCATTAGATTTCAGAGCCATGCTTCCAAGCTCAACAACCACTTGTCAGACATAGATGCTGAGAACTTGAAATGTGGCAGCACTGAATTGAGGTAAGCTGTACAGTGAGAAACACATGAGATTTCCAAAGACAGCGTGAAGAAAAGAACACAAAATACCCGCCAGACAATTATGGCAAACATCTGTAATCCCAACACTCTGTGAGCTTGAGGCCAGCCTGGTCTACAAATCGAGTTCCAGGACAGCCAGAACTGTTACACAGAGAAATCCTGTCTCAAAAAACCAAAACCAAAATAAAAAACAAAACAAAACAAAAAAAACCACAAAACAACTTTACTCTGATCAAGGTAAAATAACTGAGGTAACTAAAATAAATTAAGACTAATTTGCATTACTAGCAACCACACTCTGTTAATGTAACTTTACAAAGATGAGCTATTGCTGCCTGAGTCTGCACTGTTCTGGTTTGTCTAAGTTACTGATATGGTAGAGTGGCATTATCCTCTGCCATTGTCAGTGGAAGATTTTTATTGCTACTTTTGAAAGAGAGAGAGAGAGAGAGAGAGAGAGAGAGAGAGAGAGAGAGGGAGGGAGGGAGGGAGGGAGGGAGGGAGGGAGGGAGGGAGGGAGGGAGGGAAGGAGAGAGGGAGAGAAGGAGAGAGGGAGAGAAGGAGAGAGGGAGGGAAAGGAAGAAAGAAAAGAAAAATTCTGAATTCGGGCTAGGGAGGTGGCTTAACTATTAAAAACAGAAAACAGAGGTGGTTCTCAGCACCAGCATAGCAGCTCACAATTACCTGTTACCCCAATTCTAGGTGCTCCAATGCCTCTTCTGGCCTACATGGGCAACAAGCCACACATGGTGCTCATATATACAAGCAGGCAGAGCACTCTCACACATTAAAAAAATAAACTTTAAAAACTTGGGGTTTTGTTTATTTGTGAGACATGCTGAAACTTGCTATGGACCCTGCCTACCTCTATCCCACATGATGGGACTAAATGCAAACATGGGCACACTCAGTTAAAGAAGTTCTTAAAATCTGAACTTACCAATTACATTCAATGGAACCTTTATGAATAAATAACCACAAACATGTGTCCAGACTTCTTATATAGTGTTTCTTCAAGTCACAGGATCTTAACATTCTTCTGTTTTAATAGTCTTTTACAAGAAATGGGGAAAATTATTATTAATAATAAAATAATTTGGGGCTGGAAAGATGGCTCAGTAGTTATGAGCACTGTCTGCTCTTCCAGGGTACCTGGGTTCAGTTCCCAGCACCCATAATTCACCACAACTGTCTACAACTCCAGTTCTTTTTCTTTTAAAAGATTTATTTATTTATTTATTATGTAGAGTGTTCTGCCTGCATGTATACCTACACACCAGAAGAGGGCACCAGATCTCATTACAGGTGGTTGTGAGTCACCATGTAGTTGCTGGGAATTGAACTTGGGACACCTGGAAGAAGAGTCAGTGCTCTTAACCTCTGAGCTATCTCTAGGCCCACAGAACTCCAGGTCTAGGGGACCTGCTGACATCCTCACACAGACATACATGCAGTCAAAACACTAATGTACATAAAATATCTTTTCTTAAAAATAAATTGTATTTAAAAATAATGAATTCTTAGGATAACAAACAACAAATTGTTCAAAACACTATCAAATCCCTATGCTCTCATATCTGTCCTTGGATTTTAAAAGGACCCAATCTATCTAATGGGTAACTGCAAGAAAATGACTTTTATTGAACTTATTGTGAGTAGTTGTCCTTTAAATGCCTCTACTAAAAGTACCAATCTCTTGTGTGTCTGTGTGCACTCATATGGAAACCTGAGGTCAACATCAGCTGTCCTTCCCTCCCTTGTTCTCCACCTTGTTTCTGAATTTCCTC